GGTGCTGCCGAAAATTTCGTTGAATAAATGTACATGTCTCAAATTATGTCAAAGTGTCCGGCGTTTATGTTAACAACTGCAGTGTTATTTTATATATATATATATATATATATATATATATATATATATATAACAAATGAAACAGTAGGACTCATTTATTATCGTGTACCTAATTCCACAGATTGAAGGCGAAAACCTATTCAGAATAATTAGAGTAACGTCATATTTTAACATGCATGTCTTTGATATATTGTCTTTGCTTTAACAAAGTTTGAAGAATATCCAAGTTCAACAGAAAAACCATGTGCAAAAAAGGACAACGAGATAGAATTTTTAAAAATCAGAAAAATAAAATCAATTGAATTTATGCTGGTCGGGAAAAGCCCCCACCGCAAATTCAGAGCAGCAACAATCGGAAATTCATAATACAATAACTAAATTTAACATGTCCCTTGAAAAACAGAACATAAGACTTTTTAAATCTATTTTTTTTAAATCACAAAGTGCAATATGGCATTGGCAAATGTGATGTGGACAGTTCTCAAGAAAAAAACTAGGTTGGTTATGGGCCCTTGCATGGTGCCTAGTAGAGTCATTTTCATGAGATCCGTGACTAATTTTAGGATACCTTTTACCTCGATGGATTTGGCAACCTCGACCAATTTAGATAAAATACAGCTCCTATATACCTCCCAGATAGAGGGGAAAGTCTCATTTGTGGGCGTTTTTCAAAATGGTGGTATGTTGATTTGGACGCTTGTATCTTGATAACCACTGGTCAGAGAGACTTGATTTTCAAAAAATTGCGGGAAATGTGATTTTTGCGTGTTTGACCTTTAAACTTGTATTGTCGTATCTCGGTAACTACTGGTCACAGAGACTCACAATTGGTTGCAAATTGTTCAGGAGATTCATGTTTATATTGGTCTTAATGAAAAGATTATTCAAATAGTAACTGGAAATAGTACATTCTGATCTTTGACCGACCGTAGAGTCATGTTAAATCCAGCTAGATGACCCTCTCAGATAGAGAGAAACACCATAAAAATGATCCACTGTGTAAAAAACCAACACACACACACACAGAAAGCCTTATAGAATATATAGTTTCTGAAATATACCCCTCAAAAAGGGGCGTGGTTCTTCAAGATGCGCAAATACAACTTACTTCAAACTTTGGAAGTTTATAATAATTGGTAATAGTTGTTAAGATCAGACTTGGTATTCTAACGTATTTTCGGCCATATTACACAAATATGGTCTTAGATTAACTGTTATCCCTTCACTTTTGAAGTTATCTGCGCTCAAAGTAGCCATTTTTCCAAAGTGTGATTTTCAAGGTCATCCTGTGCCCATATGTGTGGGTTTATACAATTATTATTATTACAAATATATTATCTATGGGTACCGGTAGTCTCCTAGCCACAAGCAATCGCAGGCTGATCAAATCAATTAAAATGGAATGGCGTCTATTCAATGTTAAAGATCTACAATAGTGAAAAACACCTATGTTCCTCAATAACTAATCGGCATGTGGACAATTAAAATAATAAAATATTTTCTTAAATTTATTCCAGTTAATCAGATATAGATCTATATATCAACCAAATGTCGGCTTTGGTACTCAGCTCCTTCATGGTTACATACTATGTTGAAAAGACTCGCTAATTCGTTTGTTTTCTAGTGCGAACCTTTAAATTTTGTGGTGTAGGACAACCTTTAATGTCGATTCCAAATCTGTAATCAGAAAAGTTGTAGGATGTACTTATTTGGAATAGCAATAGACAACAACTGCTTCTTTAATATCCAAATGTTGAGGAATTGTAACCCACCAGTAACAAACATTATTCCTTACTTTTCTAACTTCAATGTCGTACAGTAGACTTACAACAGTACAATATCTCCTTTTTGATCATGACACCACTTAAGTATTTGTCTTTGTTTGTTTTTGTTACACAATGAAAACTTATTTTATTCATATTGATGTAAAAACAATATAACCATACCATTTTTTCAAATGGTATGGTTGCATTTGGCTTGACAACATTAACTTTCAACTTTAATAATGAATTACTTTGTTTTAGTATTTTTCTTACTTTTGCTTGATTTTATTCTCCTTTAAGTGCCTGGTAATGCGGGTGAAATTTGCTCTGACTCAGACTGTTCTTTTGACTCATGCTTGTCATTTGCTTTCGCGGCTTTGCATTGTTGTTCTGAAGATGATGCTGGTGATTTCATGAAGTGTATTATCTTTTATTGTTTTTTTCTTTCTGCTCCGCTCCTCAATCTCATCATCATCGCTACTTTCTTTGCTATTTTCACTGGATCCCAAACCATCTTTCATATCAGTGTCTATGCCTTTCTTCTCTATCATTCGCTACAACATTTCTTGGATTGTTTTTTCTCCAGAATCATCGTGTAACAGTTTTTCTGCACTACATTGATCTCTTTTGTGCCCTGTTAGACCACAAGTATGACAGACGAGCTTGTTTGTACAATTATTAACGTTGTGGTCGTTCTTTAAGCATTTTGAGCATTTCATTCTCTCACCGTCTGACCATTATGAAAGAACTTGGTTTTGAAACTGTTAACATTTATAAACCTAAACCTTGGTAGAAGTGTCTTTAGGGTTTCAGCATAGAGTACCCGGTCTCCATGCAGACAACCGGTTAGTTGACCATCTACTCTTAGTTTCAACCGTTGTATACTTCCTGTAATTTTACAATGAAAACGCAAGAGCGTTAATTAATTAATAAATCAATTATCAATGATAAATTAATAATTTAATTAGTAATTAGTTAGTTAGTTAATTAATTAATTAATTAAAAAAATAAAATAAAAATAAATAACTAACTAACTAACTAAATAAATAAATAATTAAATAAATAAATAAATAAATAAGTAAACGAACTAAGGAACGAACGAATGAACAAAAAAACAAATAAAATGGAACCGGTGTTAGTGACGAAATAGTTGCAGATTTATTCAACTAACATATGTAGGGCTATTTATTTTTACAAGTAAAACACTTTATATATAAGTTTTATATTTATGTTGTAGGCCTTCCTTTTATCATAATCACCATTATTAGCCTTCCCTTTTTCCAACTGCCGAAGTGATCTATAGTCATTCATGTTGTTCTCTTTAAATGTGCACCTGTCATTACGTCGTACTTTAGATCGTGTTTTACGAGTATACCCGAGAAACCTGGCAGGGAAGATGACTCGCTCAATTATTATCCAGCCAGGCAGCCATTAACCACCCTACCCAACCACCAAAAGCCATTTTTTGTTGTGATATTTGATTTTGCATGCACCAGTGGAAAATCATTGTTTTTCTTTTTCTTTTTTGCACAGGGTTTTTTCTGTCTGGCACTTGGTCTCTTTTCGTGGTTGAATCTTCTTCAAACTTTGTCCAAGCAAAGAAAATATATCAAAAATGCCCATATAAAAATATAACTTCATTCTACGTGTTTTAAATATCATTAGATGGTAAATATACTTTTAAGTTAACGTAATTTGTTTTCTATAAATTGTCCCGAACTAGATTCAGCTGTAGTTACGACAAAACATAAACAATTTTTCTCTTCAATCTAAAATAGGCAAGACAGGTATGCTCGGGTTTTATTGTAATGGTTAAAATTGTTTGCACTATCCTCGCTATTATAATTTATTCTAACTGCCATCAAGTTGGTTTTTATGTTTTTTTATTATATAATTTTCTTAATGATTTAATTGATTTTCAAGTATTTTTCTGCTTTATAATTTTATTTTCAGAAGAGAGGTTACATATTTTATTAAGGATTATTTTGGGTATAAAAAAATGTAAAAAGCGCCTTTTAATTTACAATATATAATTTATTAACGCAAGACAGCATTAAAATCTGGGAGGCAAAAGACCAGATAACGAGAAGGAACACATATTATGCTATTCGTGCTATGCTCTGAACTTTACCTACAATGTCCATAATATTAGTAACTTTTTTTAATGTGTCGCCATCGTGTTTTATTATATTAACTGTTTAGTTCATTTTCTTTAATTAATCTCTGTAAAGGAAAAGGTTCCGGTGTTATCGTGTACGTCGTCGATTCTGGCGTCAATACTAGACACTCAAATTTTGATGGAAGAGCAGAGAACTGGCACGAAGTTGTTAGTGACATTGTAAGTTGGATAAGCATAATAAGTTGAAGAAAAGTAGAAAAAGAAATTCTAATTTTATTTATTTTCATTATTTCGACATAAAAAAACAGTCACAAGAAAACAACGTAGCTAAACATCTGTGTAATGAGGCGCTCAAGCTATGGGTATGTATTTTGGCCCTAAATGCATAAACTTATTCTTTATTCTTCTTATATGTTGTAGGGGCAGGATTGCATGGGACACGGTACCCACGTTGCCGGTACGATTGCTGCAAGAACTTACGGGGTTGCCCAGGGAGTGTATATACGCAGTGTACGCGTATTTGGGTGCCCTGACAAAAATTCAACAGCAGGCGATCTCGTAGAAGGTTAGTTTAATCACGACCACTTTTACAAGCGGACGTTGTAGTCAAGTGTTTTGAATACTTTCAGACCAAGAGCGTCGATCCGTTATATGCAACTTTTTGATTCTAGTCGTACTTATTGTGTAATGGAGTGTATCTGGTGGTATTTGAATCTGTTCAACCATGAAGCCTCCGTGGTCTAATGGTTATGACGCTCGCCTATATATATATACATATGGATATAGATAAGTAAAAATATAATTGAATGTTAAATTTAATCAATTCGAGACCAGCATAAAGATAACAATAAAACAATTATGAGATATACTTTATATGGGCGAAACCAAGGCTTTTCGTTCTCAAATTCATTGTTTTATTAAATACTAGAAATTTGATTAAAAATTCATTAAAACAAAAATCATTACTATGACAAAATTATAATGCATGATGTAATTTTATTTTGTTGCTCGATTTTGTTTTTAAATATTATGAGTTTTCATGAATATGATTTCATCAGACCTGTCAAATAATTTGTGATTTGTGCACTGGAAAGGCGTAAGGTTCAAGAGGCTTCGACATTAGGACGCCTGTAACACCATTTTTTTCTCTCTAAAATTGTACAAATTTTGTATACAATATGTTGTTAGAGTAATTATCAAATAATCTGAATTGAATTTTATCATGACCAACGAAAATGAATAAAAAAAAATTCATTGACTAGGACCCATTCTACTTGCCTCCTTTTGACATATATCTCATTCTAGGCAGATATTTGAATTCCTCGGCATATCTTTAATAAACTAAACGATATTAAAAAGTAAAAAGTACGCGACATACGAGGTATTTCGACAGCGCATGCTACCGATGATTTTTTCCCCGCAAAGCTGATGCTCGTGTAATTGTCACTTTCCTACCAATTGTGACTTTCCTAACTATCAGGTCCTCAATTCTGCAGTTTGGCAAGCCTATTCATGGCTAACGCTGCGTGTCTTAAACTGCGGTGTTAGACCTTTCCTATCATTCGACACTATTTCTACCCCTCCTGTTATACTCCTACAATTTTGGAGTCCGTAAGAGTTCGCTTTACCCACCAGAACCAGAATGTTGCTACCATAGTAACTAAACACAGCAACATTGGTGATTATAAACGGTTTTTTATTGTCTCTATAGGTAACATCAATAACAATAAACATAATAACAACATCAATAACAATAACTAGACTTACTATGTCTATTTAAACAACAGAACATAGGGTTTTCCCCACTGCTTTAATGAGAAATTAAGTTGAAATTACAACAAAAAGAAAAGTCTTTAAAAAATATAAAGTTAAAAAAGAAATAGTTTTAGTACTTAAAAAAAAAACGAAAAAAAACCCCCAAAAAACAAAAACCAAGTTCACCACGACGTTAGTGATACTTGAAATACGGCTGCAATAGTAATAGCGAGGTACATCGTGACTCATAACCATTGCGCGCTATATGAGCCGACCTTGCATAGGCCAGTGCATTTTCAGTTCATAGCGATTTAATGACTGGAAGCAAAACTTGTTCATGTATATCACGGTAGTTTTGAGTTTAACCTAGTTGTGACTTGTTTAAGGGCTTTAGAAAACGCAAATTGCTTTTAAATAATTTAATTAACTGTCAAAAAAATATTTTAATGGTCCTCATATCCACACCCTATTGTGGATCATCACTAAAATTGGATCATTTCTTCATTTCAAAATGAAAAACTATTCTGCAAAGTTTCAATTTTATTCATTTATAACTGAGACGTAAGCAATTTAAATGACCCTCAAATTTACACCCTAATCTGGATCGTCCCCAACACATAATAATTATCTTCCTTGTAACTTGTGTTAAACTTTCCCGAAAGTTTCATTCGGATCAGTTAACCCGTTTTTGAAATATCTAGTCTGGGTCGTTTTCCTTAAATGATCCTCATATCCACACCCTACTCAAAGTCGTCACAAAAATTTAGTCATTTCTTTACTAGACCTTTACAAACTATTATAGAAAGTTTTATTTAGACCCATTAAAAACGTTTTAGAGATATTTAGGTCTGGGTTCTAAAAAATTTAAATGACCCTCAAATTTATACCCTTGACTGAATCTTCGCCAACACATAATAATATCTTTCTTGTAACTTGGTTAAACTTTTTCCGAATGTTCCATTCAGATCAGTTAATCTGTTTTCAAAATATGTGAGGCCTCACTACAAAATGAGTCTCATGGTTAGAATATCAAAAATTGAGTTTATATTATATTTGGGTAGATCACATAATCTTTAATTTGGTCTTTGAATGGCTTCACTAGGATATGTAGATCCAGAGATGTGAGCATTTAAATATTATATATAAAAGAACCACATTTTGAGAAAATTGGCCTCCAAGATAAACTAACCTGTACAAATAATAGTACTAGAATTACAGAATATGCACAGAGAACAGTGCCTTAGTAAGAAAATTCACCTAAAAAGTATACAATAATTAAATATAAATGTCAAGTTATAAAAAAAACATTAAAATTGAAATTGTGTAAATTTTTGACTTTGACCTTATTTTGGTTATTATCTAAAAATGATTTTACCAACGATGCGTATCATTTCGTGGTGAGACCTCACATATCTGGGACGTTTTCCATTCAGTGGTCCTTAGATCAACACCCTACCCCAGTTTTCACAAAAAATAATCATTTCTTTACTCGACCTTGACAAACTGTTATACAAGGTTTAAATTATACCCAATGATTTTTTTAAAGAGATATTTAGGTCTGAGTCTTCAAAAACTGAAATGACCCTCAAAATTACACCCTTCACTGGACCTTTACCAACACAAAAAAAAATTCTTCCTTGTAACTTGATTAAACTTTCCCGAAAGTTTCATTCAGAGCAACTAACCGGTTTTTGAAATATCCGGTGTAGATTGTTTGCCCTTAAATCACCTTAATTGGTCCTCACACGCACACCCCACCCTAGATTGTCACTAAATATTAGGAGGCACATCCTTGATATATTGCCTATGCTTCGGAAAAGCACGGAAAAATTCTAAGCATGAGAAGTGACGAAAGTGACGGCCAGAAAAAAACAATGCAAAAAGATAGGAAAAATATATGCAAGAAAAAAGAAAAAAAAAATCTGTATTGCTTTGAAAAGCCAATAATAATAATAATAATAATAATCATAATAATAATAATAATAATAATAATAATAATAATAATAATAATATTAATAATAATAATATTAATAAAAATAATAATAATAATAATAATAATAATAATAATAATAATAATAATAACAATAACAACAATAATAATAATAATAATAATGAGATATAAGGTAATAAACTCTAAACCGTTAGAGCACGCAAATAACAGGGGTAGCGCTGCACAAATATTTCTGGTTGTGAGTTGGAAAGCCGTCCTCTTGAAGGGAGGCCGTACGTCTGTACTAAACCCTGCCTTTCGTATGTAAAAAAGAAGCTTGCTTTATAATAAATGGAATAACGATAGGCTTACATACATTTATTCACACAACACATATCAAAAACTACTGTAGTTATCATTATCACAGCATTATGTATTTTTTTTGTGTCCAGCAATTAATTATATTCTCGACTATGGGTACGGAGGTAGTGTTGTATCCATGTCTCTTGGATATAATACGAGTTGCAAAGTGATTGATGATGCTGTAAAGAAGTTGATTCTAAATGGCTTCGTCGTAGTAGTCGCAGCTGGAAACAGTAATATCGATGCTTGTACCAGGTCACCTAGTAGAGTGACTGAGGTAAGAGTTGCTAATGTTGTTTTCCTAATATTAAGATAGCCACTTTAAAAAAGCAAGCATTATGAATATATAGCAAATAAGCAAATTAACATAACCTAGCTTACGGTATGTTCAGGCTTGAGATACGCCAGGCGTACCTAGCACCTTCGATCCGACCTGAAACAAATATTAGTGGGGCGGATATGTGACTTGGGCGTGCACTTCTGGAAAGAAGCATGAAACTTTGTCCTAGGAGGGTTTTTGAGTATGCCGATTTCAAAAATTGCGGGAACCACGATGTCACTCCACCCCTTTCCACCCAAAAATGGAAAATTCAAAATGGCCGCCAAAAAACACAAATATGGCAGTTTAAAGGATCTAAGAGCCCACATTACCATGATATTGGTGTCAATACATGTTCTTTAGTTCAAGAAATTTAATAAAACATTATTAAAATACAATGCCATACATTTTTATTGTGAAAATGCAAAATAAAATATTCAAAATGGCCGCCAAAAAAAACCCCCACAAATTTGGCAGTTTGAAGGCTTTTAGTGTACATATTACCATAATCTTGGTGTTAATACCTATGCTCTTTAGTTCAAGGAATCCAATAGAACGTATATAAACACCATAGTATAAATTTTTAGTGTGAAAATGCAAAAACTCAAATACGTAAAATGCAAGAACAAGCCCTCATCACTTTTCCCCTCAAGTTTTGCATCAATGAGAAATGGGCCAATGAGAAATGAAAAGGTGGAAAGATGTCAAGCTGAAGATGTCAATGGAAGCCGTTGTTTTGATCCTATATATAGGCAGTTCGGGATATTGGCCGCTTGATGCTGGCTATGGGAGTGACAACATCCGTTTTAAACAGCACTGCTTGCCCCACATGGAGAATAGCGTAGAAACGGAGGCCTTACCAAAGCTTTTCTCCATTCCTTCCAGTTGCTGACTGCAGCCAACAGGTCATCGAGCACTTACAGAAAGGCAGATGCATGCCTCAAATGGAGTACAAAAACTAAAGCTTACATGCTGGAATAACTATGCTTGATATATTATATTGACGTCCAGAACGTGACTGTTTTTTATTTTGTTTTTTTTTGTACATGAACTGGATCACAATTGCATAGTGACATTGCCGCTCTTAGCGAAGGAAGGCAGCATTTAAGAACTTAGAGCTGGCTTCACTCGCAACTGGTCAGGCAAGTTAAAGACAGCTCAAATGTCTTGTGAGTGCCTTTAAAATGAGAAACTCAATTGCCTAAAAATCAATAACACAACAACTGGTCACTCCGATCGCATCATCTCCACGCGCCTCACTTCAAAGCAAGCATCATGATACTTTCGTCAGCATTTATGCCCCGACCGTTCAAGCTGACGCTAAGGGCAAGTTTTACACTGATCGTATCAGCCTCGTACAGAACAGCCCCACAAGGTCAACATCATGGAAACACTAAAAGGGAGAAGTTTCAGGTTGGCAACTTCCAGTCAGTTGCAATAAGAGCTGACATCCAGGTGAAACTTCAATCAAAGCTTTAGGGTGCAAGTTACACTGCAAACTTCTGTCCAGAATTATTTTGTCACACCTGAAAACTGCTATCCGCCAGACCTTAGAAGAAGTCCAAAGGTTCTCCAAAAGGAAAATCAAAGACTAGTTTGAAGAAAATGACAAGGAGTTCCAAGATGTGCCGGGGAAAAGGATATCCGCCCACAAGAGATACATCTTACTCAGCCGATGAAAAAAAAAAAACAACATTTCATATTACCTACAGAAACTTTTGGTGTAAACTACGAGAAATCAAAAAACAATTTGTGGATATACCTCGCAGCGAAGACTCAGCTTTTTGCAGTTACTAGTAGCTACAAGAAGGAGTTTTACAAAACACTGAAGGCAGTATGCATCTCTTCATACCAGATTCGAAGTCATTTGTACAGTTTTGTACTGACGGCTTCTTGCTTATGTGTTCACACCTACCTCGGCCTCGCATGTTTAGTGTCAGTTCCTCAAATAAAAAATACTCAAATGAGAGTTAGGATTAAGGAACATTTTTGTATCCATCTGTATTTGTCACATTTAGTTTAGTTTGTGGTGCTATACTTTAGCTTGTGGCAGCGGTGGTGTAATGTCTTTTACAAAGTATAGGTGGAAAGTTTGGGAACGGCCACTTGCTTGAGAGTTCACACCCACCTCGGCCTCATGTTTAGTGTCACCAGAATAAAACAGCTGTTGATAACCAAGATAAAGAATTTACATGTACAATGATGCGGGTGCATCATTGTACATGTATATCTATATTCATGGTTTTTAATAACATTATATATTCATAGGCCTATCTTATAATTTGGTTTATCTTTAGAAGAAAGAATAATTTTTAAACTTGGGACTATGGCACCTACGGGTATTAATGTATTATTTAATTAATTTAGATTGTAATTCAGCAAGTACATCATTGTGCATGTATATCTATATTCAAGGATTTTTGTGTTATATATATTCATAGTTATTATTATTCATTTATTCTTATAATTTGGTTTACAAGCTGGTAATCTGTGAATTGGTACATCACACATTATACACCCTGGCGGCTATTGTTTTTTCACTATTGGATCGGGCATTGCTATTGTTCTAATTTTGCTATTGTATTGTTTAAATTTTGCTTTTGTTTTTATGAGTATCAGCCCATCATTGACCAAGCATGCGTTTTGTTTATATATTTCTCATTGGTCAGTTTATCATAAGCTTTACTTTTAAATATTCTACTCTCATTGTATTATGCATCACTTGAGAAAGACCTATGGTCAAAAACGTTCGTGAGCATCTATTTCAAATGAATAAAGCAAATTAAAAATGGCTTCGTCACAGTAGTCTCAGCTGGAAACAATAATACACATGCTTGTAGCAGGTCACCTAGTAGAGTGATTGAGGTAAGAGTTGCTAATGTTTTTTCCCCCTAATATTAAGATAGCCAATTTAAAAAAACAAGCGTTATGAATATACAGTATAGCAAATAAACAAATTACCATAACCTAGGTTTATGTTAACAGGCTTGAGATACGCCAGGCGTACCTAGTACCTTCGGTCCGACCTGAAACAACTATACAACTTGTATAGTTGTCTTAGCTCCGACCACGGCGTAATTAGCAAGATGTCCACATTGCCCAATAAAGCAACGTAGCTTATTTACATACGCGAGATAATATACTGTTTTTTTTATTTCAGTCATTTAGTTCAGGCCCGTACTCATTGAAGGGGGCGGGGGAGGGTATGCGGCATGTGCGTAAACTCCCCTTTCACCCTTTACTAATCCACATTATGGATTAAGTCCACATTATCCGGGTAGAGAATATTGTTTGTTTATATCAGAGTCAGACGATTAGGCATTTGTAATCCCTAAAATTTTACAGCTTTATTGCATGCTTGAATTGTACTTTCGGCACTTGAGATTTGATTTTTCCCCGACGAACTTGCTGGAAATTCCCCTACAGTGGGGATCTAAGCGGGGGGTCCAATGGTTCTCCTTCGACCCCCACTGGCGCCGCCCCTGATTGACAGTAAATACTGTGATTCAATTTAAATGTTCGTAAATAAAATTGAGGTCGAGTAAACTCCCTACTCAGAACTCACTCTAACATTTTTTCTTTCTGTTTAGCCATTTGGATATAGTCGCCAAATGATTCTGTCTTTAACCAATTTACTAAAATATTAAAAATCATTTTTGCCAACTTACAATGCCCTAGCCCTAATCTATTTATACCCTGTGTTATTGTAGTTCACATAATGATTGAATTAATAATATCATAAATTTATAAATAAAATCATTAAAAAAAGCAAACTTGACTGTAAATACCTTTAAAATCAATTCAGGCAATTACTGTCGGGGCAACAGATATAAACGATAAACGAGCGTCATTTTCAAATTATGGATCCGGCGTAGATATTTTCGCACCAGGAGTGGATATTATTTCCCTGGATAATGCAACAAATACCGAAACAACAATTAAGAGTGGTACGTCCATGGCCACACCTCATGTTTCAGGTAAGTCGAATTTGACTCAGTTTTATAAAAATAGGCCTAATAATAATAAAAATAATAATAATAATAATAATAATAATAATAATAATAATAATAATAATAATAATAATTTTTCTTTAATTTTTGCATCTTGTCTTTCTTTTCTTTCTCTTCAAATGTTCTTAATCTTTACTTTTCTTGTCCTTTCTTATGTTTTCTGATCTTATCTTACATATTCCTTTCTTAGATTCCTTATCATTTCATTCATTTTCTTTCTTATAATTCCTTATCTGTCTTTCATTTTTCATTCTTATATTTCTGATAATTTCTTTCCTTTTACAATAATATTGCTGCTACGAAGTGAGTTTGATATGAATTTTTATTGATGGTAATTCTTGCTGGACTGCCTAACAGGAAATGGCTAATTCTTTTATCAGAATGTTATTATTTGTTGCTGTTGTTGAATTTGATGTTTTAAATTTAGTGGTAGCATATCTAAGTTTAATTTGAAGGGAATCCTCTCCAAGTAATTTTTATCAAGAAGGTAATGTTCTTATCCAGGTTGAGGCTTTCGTGTTAGGCAAACTGAGAGGAATTAATTATTTTAAATATCCCCTCTCATTTATTTATCACAATGTCATTAAATTCTTACAAAATAATGGAGGAAAATAATCCCTGTTATTTAGCAGTGCATGGAAGATATCAATCAGACTCGCTTTCTATCAATATATTATTTAAACAGTACAGGAATTGACTGCCTTATCTACAAAATGCTGTTTACCAGACAAACAAGTCTGAGTATGTCAGGTCAGTCTAAAATTACCATACAAATTGCTATTTGCCAAGCTGCAATTCGATACTACCTGTACCAGCAATTTCCACTGGTCAAGCTGTCATCAAGTCTAAGAGATACACTGGCGGGGACATTCCCTGGTAGTTTCAACCAAGTCAGGCATGGTTCAGACTTACATACCTTTGGTAGTAAGAGTTAGTTCTCTCAGCTTAGCAAAAAGAGCAGCTTTCAAACCGTAGAAATATCCAGGACAGTTTCTGGGATGGTTAAGTTTACTAGGAGTGAAGTCCCCTTAGACAGTTTAGTGGACATTATTATTGTACTTTTCTGGCAGCTTCTGCAGCACATCCCGTACCATCTAAATTGGTCTTCCTTTTATTCTGGGTTCTACTAGTAATTATGGTGGGTTCCTAATAATTGGGCAAATTACAAATTTCATCTAGCTTCTGCCCAAGAGAGGCCAATCCAACTCTGATTGTATAAAGGCACAACACGGGACTCGTCATTCTACCGGCTATAAGTCGTCCGATTGATTGTTGGCAAATTGGCAGTTAGATAGAATGTACCCGAGACTAAAGATAAAAATTTAAAACAAAGTTTGTGTATACATAGAAAATTCATCTCTTAGGATAGATGATGCACAGAACACTACAGTAATTGTCCGCGAGCCATCATGATTTGACCTTGGTTCTTCGTAAGGGTCTAACTACACTTTTATCTCTAAAGCGAAAGCTGCTGGTTGTGTGTAGGTTCTGCCATCAAAAACAGTTTGTTTAGTGATGTTGAAGAGTCGGAGGGTAGTAGTGAAATGCTGCTTGCAATAACGTTATCAACCTGTACAGTGTGTATGCGCCAACGCTGACACACTTTGATGAGGGAAAAGATTGATTTTATGAACATCTTTAATTTTTCTGTTAAGTCCATTTCTAAAAATACACCTTTAATTTTATTAGGTGATCTTCACGTTCGAGTCAGGGCAGCATGGTCAGTCTAGTTAGAGAATTTTGGCGTTAAACAAATTATTGAAAATGAACAGAGGCTTCTTGAACTCTGCTCTTATTTAATGTCTTATGTTTAACTATGTGTTACAAATACATGTTTTGTATCAAAGGCAAATCATAGGCATCTTACAAGATTTCTGGAAGACATCCTAGGTCAAAGCATTGGCATCAGCTGAATTTAGTGATAACACGCCGCTCTTATTTAAACAATGCTAAAAAAATCGTTCGTTACATGGATCCATAGTGCAGTTTGTGACACGGACCTTTCTCTGATTTGTAGCCGACTGCAAAAGCAGAGGCCAAGAACCAAACATCGTTCTCTTTCAAAAATTAATGTCATGGAAACAACGTCTGATCCTAATAAACGTGCCAGATTTTAACATAATTTGGCACACCGTAAACTTTCCATGCAAGATGATTGTGCTGATATTGAAGAATATTGCTGAATAATGAAAGCTGCAGTTTATGACTTCCCTCTACTCGTATTTTGTATGAAGACCAAAGATAATCCTGATTGGCTTGAAAGGAAATCTGACAAGTTGCTACAATTCATTGAAAAGAAATGTACAGCTTTTATCAAGCATTTAAGACACGTGGTACAAGATAGAATCTTGCTACTCTTAGGTTAGCGAGGGCAGTATACAGCGAGTTGTGCGTCAGTGCACTAATGAGTATTCGAAGGAGCTCAGCATTCAGATACAAATATAGGGAATGTATGAAGGAATCCGTAAAGCCATTGGTCAAGTGCAGAAGAAAACAGCACAGATTAAAGACCGAAATGGTACTGTGATAATTGATCAGAAGAAACAGATGGACCGATGGGTAGAAATGTTTGTTTGAAAATCTGAGGAAAATAGGCTCTCTTTTAAATATCATCCAGGCTTTTCATCAGGGGTTGCAAGCTACTGTCAAATTCAACGCATGTTGAGAATGGTAGAAAGAAATTAAGCAAGGAGATTTTCAGTCGCTTTTCAGCTTCTTCGAGTCGCTGAGAAAATCGAACATGGGGAACTGAGAGCAACTGGCGATTTTCAGTGTTTAGTTGATTTCGATTACAAGGAGCGCTTGTCGCCTTAATCGCGTGACTCTTGCCAGTTGCTTACAGCTGCTGACAAATTGCAATAGGTCAGTTGATATCAGCATAGCTGAGTTGAGTCGCAAGGGCGTTATAAGCTTAGCTTAAGCTTCACAAGCTGAAACATAAGGCATTTAAGAGCCATGCTACAATTTTATTTTTCAAATTTTTGACAGCAAAAGTTCGTTTTTATACAATTTTAGTTCCATATTTCCGATGGTATGTACATCATAATTTTTTAAGCATGAGGCTATGTATTTGGTATCAATCTAAAGATTATACTATATTCTATTGGCCAGTATTCTATCCCACAATGCGAAATCAAAACATTCCGTCTTTGAAACCAAACTTGGCATAGTTTTTCTTATTTCTGTACAATTTTTATCCATTCTATTAATACCAACAAAGTTCAACAGGAAATTCAAGGTTGTGAGGCCAATGATCTGTAATTTAAATACATTTGACAACGATAACTTCTAATTATTATATTTTTGTTATTATTATTAGTAGCTCAGCGTAGGAATAGACCGTCTATCAGCACGTTAAAATGTACTGATATGTGTTGGCTGAATTTAGCCTCAAATACCTTCCGAACGTTTAAAGGATTCAAATGAAAGGAGCAATGAGCGTGTCTGTTTTCTCAGCCCGTCGGCAAACTTCAATTTCTCGAAAACTGGTTTTTAGGTTTCTCACAAACATAGGTTTACACTTGCATAACTTTATAACGGAGTGTTTTTTTTCAATATTTTGTTTCATCATTGTAAATACAGTACCTTACTAAATAAAATAATGATATTATTTTAAAATCCGAATTTCCGACAACCTACTGGTTTGACTTGTGAGTGTTCCATCAGATCGTTGTTTACTATTCACCACATAGTTAAATTGTGAAAGATATAAAAATTGATACCACTCCCAATCAAGATAATATTGTTACATGTATATTACATTACAGGAGTGGCTGCGATATTGAGATCTCGTGGAGTACCTGCTAGTGAAATTCGTCAAAAGATATTTGACCTATCGACTAAAGATGTTGTTAAAGACCCTAAGGGATCCCACAACCGTCTGCTCTTCATCGACTAATCATGTCATCTGGATCGAGTAAATCTATTGTGACAACTCCATAGAAACACGAATAATTTGTACAAACACGCTGCCGTATTTTCAATTATCTTAACATAAACATTAATCATATTTTTTAATTTGTCTTTTAAGCCTCTATGTTTCCATTAAGTATAATTATTAATTTAATAATAAACTCGATAAAACTTATACTTATATCGTCATTAAAAATTTACATATAAATTGCGAAAGACGAAGAAGAAAACATGATAAATTACTTCAGAAAATTGTTACTGATAGTAGTACTTTCTGCGTAGTCTCGAAAAATACCATTGAACAGTGGCGGATCTAGGAATTCAAAATAGAGGGGCCCAGACAGGGATTTTGACACAGTGGCGTATTTAGGAGGGTGCGCGCGGGGGGAGGGCGCACTCTCAGTCGCCCCCAGAAATCACGGCCAAGTAGTTAAAAATCACCTAAAATCAGATTATTTTGCGAATTAGCATTCCTCAACTAATCATCGATCCCCCACTTCAACTTCGCGCCCCCCATCACCCCCCCCCCTCCCCCCATTTCAAAACTTCTAGATACGCCACTGTTTTGACAGATGGAGGGTCTATACCTCCTCAGGCCCAACATGGATGGGGCTGCAGAGGCGTGAAATTGTACGATTTTGGCAGCTCTGATAGCCAGAAATGGCACCCTGAGATTTGAATATTTTGATTTTTACTTCAGTTTTAAATTATCTAACATGAACATTATAAAATATGCATATTTGGTAGTCATAGTTTTAAAATGAAAGTAATGAAAATTAGTAGGGTTATTCAATTGTTGCAAAATTTATTTGATTTCATTTATTTACCCTTTTATGTATTTTATGTGTTTTAGAACTGATTCTATGTTTTGATATGGAACAAAATAAAAAGTAGTGTGATCAGATTGAACCAAGTTATCAGACAAACATTTACTAAATATTTTAAATCTGGCCTGTAGGCCAAATTTCGTCTTTTATACATAAATAATATAATCGAAATTCAGTAGTTTTACTGCTATTACACCAATAAAATTTAAAATATATATGGTGATTACAAAAACTAAAATAATGTTAAGTTAGCTTACGGTATTTATTTACATAGATGCTGTTCCTGGAGCTCTTATTGAATACGAAATCAATGAACATGTGGCCTGTAAGTGTTACGAATAAAGAACTCCGGTATACCAACGATTAAATACTGTAAGGCTACGTTCAGACTTGGAGATAAGCCAAGCTTGAGTTAAGCCCGGCTTAACTTTGCTGGGCTTTCAGACTAGCGGGATTAGCCAGGCGAGAATTTGCATAATAATGAACCGTAACCAGGAAACGTGTTTCAAAACATTGCTTGCGAAACGTACGCTCGCTCACAGCGTACGTAATTGAATGCTGATCGGTGACTTTGTCACCCGAAGTCAACGCAAGACCCCCCCCCCCCCGCAACGATTAAAGCCCGGCTAACACGGTGGCGCGCCAGGCCTAGTTACAATAGGAACACACCTAGTTCAGACTGGCAGGTAGGTAGATAAACCCAGTGAGTTGAGCCGAGTTTATCCACCTAGTCTGAACTAGCCAATAGCAGTCGAGTTGACTTCCCTTTGCCCTATATACTAGGCTACACTCCGACTTGTGCTTCCCAAACTGTGGGTCTTTTCCGAAAAATAGACAGCCAATATTTGACTGCCTAATGTCCCCTGCACATTATAAAAAAAGACTAATGTTTATTCTTTCACTAAAAGTAGCGATCAATAAACTAGTTACTATTATACTTACTCAACAATGCCTATATACATATATGTAAGCTAAGTTTAATATACACCATTTTATCCGCTTTATTTTGAAATCTTACAACTTAATACTCCATTACTATATAACCGACTGTATAGTAATGTATTTATATATTATGTTTGTTATTAAATGCCTTTACGGTGTTTTCTCTATTGACCAATCATCATTCTTACCAGAGCTTCGAGACAGAAAACTTTTAAGATTTGTTTACCAGAAGGCTAGACCCAACAGTTATTTTAAGGACACTACTTCTTTTTTTTTTATTTTGTTAAAGCGATGCATTTTCATTATTGCTATTTGTACTTTTTATTAGTATTGTTTATATCGTTGTTCTTGTACAGTACAATATCAATAATGACATATATTACATTTAGGGCCAACAGCTGTTCATACTGAAGCTGTTCACTTCGAATTCCCATCCGAAAATGTTTCGGTTCTTCATTATATTTCAAGCCTTATTGCACATGGGACCACTTTCATTACATTTGAAAGGGGGGGGGGCATACTTATTATCGTCAACAACCGTCAACAGCTAGCCCTCAACAACCGTCAACAAGCGTTGTTGACGGTAATCAAAGGAGTCGATCCGTTGTGAAAAGTGTGAGTGGGTAGGGGGAACGAATTGTGTCTATCCTTTTATAATTCGTATTTAATTAATTTTAAGGAAAAAAATTATTTCCAAACTACATTTTCAAATTAGTGGCGGATCCAGAAATTTTAGGGGGAGGGGGGCGGGGTGGCCAGGGAATTACTTTTCCAGACGGAGTGTAGACCACCTCAAACCCACCATGGTTGGAGCTGAGATAAGAAAATTATTGATTATGGCACCTCTAGTTGGCCGGAAATGGCACTCTCAGACTGCTGCGACCCCTTGGATCTGCCACTGAAATACTCATCATATTTTTTCTTTTATCCCGGTAATCATAATCATGTCCGCTTACAAATGTCGTGCAAACTAACATTCATAAAAAAATGATTTATTATCTACTGATTAACTTGTGACGTATTTGAACTAATTCTATAGAGTCTTTTCATATACAGTACATTTAAAATCAATCAATAGGTTTTTCCTTTTCTCCTCTTTTTGAATTTCATTTTTTTTAAAGTTGTATTGCGACTACACTATTGTGACTGGAAATACTACCGTCTAACTTACGATCAAACAGGATTAAGAACCACACAAGACATTAGTATTTTTATTGCACACACATAAAATGATTTACTTAATTTATCATGATGTCATGGCGAGATTGCGTCAAGTAACAACGGAGTAATAGGCCTATACAAAACGAATAAGTAGAAATTGTGCACTTTTGAGTTGGCCTAATTGGTTTACACGCTTCCAATTTTAACAACGTACAGTACGTTGTTTTCATAATAAATTTAGCTTCTGATAACCGCTGCACAAATAAAATCGATTGAGTGGTTACTGAGATGGTTACGAAATGTACAAACAGTTGCGTTTTTACACTCAGTATTGGTCCGGAAATGCGCACAGAACTTTGAACAGAGCACGAGTGAAGAGAAAAAAAATTGATGACAGTTATTCGTAATTGTTATTGTTCTTTCCACTCGCTTTGAAAAGTGAGGTTTTAACTATAAAAGGTTGGTGAAAGTGGGAGGGGGACAATTGATATAATGTCCCCCTACTTTGAAAAGTAGGGGGCGTGTCCCCATCCCCACCGATCGACGCCCATGACGGTAATTAGTTGTGTACATTATTATTAACCGTTAACAAGCGCGTTGTTGACGGTAATTAGATATAGATATAATATATATTTTTGTAATTTAAGTTACCATAATTAATTACCGTATATCTTTGCTGTAAGCCTGGGTTACTAACATCATATTTGATTTTGTTTTGGTATAAACGCTAAATATGACGCTAAAAAAACTACACTATTATTATTATTTATTATTATTATTATTGTATTATTATTATTAAAGTGTAATTGTGGGATGGATATTAATTTATTTATAATGCGATTATAATACGGTAATTAAACAAAGATAGAAGTTAAACATATAAATAAGCTTAGAGGATGGTGGTGGTTAAAACCTGAAGCAGAAATTTAAGTACTTCACTTACAGATAAGAGAGGAACTGTTCGGACAAAATAACAGGGTTCCAGGTAATAAAGATGTTTTGAGTTGTCTGCACTGGATCCCAAATTACAACTGAATTACTTTTGGTAGTAAGACAATTTAAGATGGGTGTGACACTTTGCATATTAAGGGTCCCATCCAATCAGGGCACCAATTCCAACAAGTTTAGCAAACTAATCCACCAATTAAAAGCTATGGTAAAGTGTCCAATAAACATATACTTAATTAAATAAATAAGTGGTTAGGACCAACTGAAAGTAAATGTCCAGGATGCGAAACCACATTCAAGTATTGGAGGTACCAGACTCAGTTCATTGACCTTGCGTTAATTGAATACTGACCACGGATAAAGGAACTTGTAGGTTATAGGACAATAGCATACTGTAGGATAATAATATTTATGAGCTTTACAAAGTAAAGCAAATTAAAATAAGGAAACACTACTTTCCTATAAAATGTTGAGTAAAACTTAAGGTCATAAAAATGCTAGCTACAAAATATTATATTATATATAATTATATAAAGAAGTTAATTAAAAATAGGCAAGGATGTAACAATACATACATAAACATCAACGTTTGGGTGCGGCCCTCGGTGTTAAATCAAAAAGTCACGTTGGCCTTCCGACCGATTTTTATGCCCATCCCTGGAGTAAACAGTCATTATTCCTCCAAAGACAAAACAAGCGAGACAGACAGAATAAGGACTTTTAACTGTTACCAGGATAGGAAGCTGGCTGGTTTAAGCCGTCTAACTTGAATTAGGAAAGGAAAGTTTTGTTTTTCTGAGCATGTGCAGATTGTGCTTATCTGGCTCATTTGCATAACAATACCGCACATAAGGCTAATTCAAGTTAGACGGCTTAAACCAGCCAGCTTCCTATCCTGGTAACAATTAAAAGTCCTAACAGCCAAGTCCTGCTCATTCGCACTCTGGAGCTTGTCTATTTTTCATACAATGCTTGACTGAATTTGAGGAGTCACGTGACGTAGCTGACGTAGAACAGTAAATCAGGCTGCTTAATTTTCCTTCATTAGCAATTCTCATATAGGAAAAACAAATATTGCCGCCGGGTGGCGATTTTTTTTTTTCCGTACGAAACATTTGCATGAAACTTCACTCGTGCCATCTCGGATTGA